TCGAGCGATGTCGTTAGCACCACGACGATTGAACAATTTAGATAACTCCGCAGGGGTGGTGGTGGTGGTGGTGGCAGCAGCAAGACGAGTAAGACAGCCCAAGAGAGGTCTCAAGACCGCCTCTTCGGAGGCAAGAGCCGCCGCCAACAATCCAAATCCCCGAGACACTCAAACCATGGCAAGGCAATGCTCATGCTTCCAACGTAATGCACCTCTAGGTCAAGCAATGCCGGTCATTGCAGAGCAGCGCACAACAGTGATCAACAACCTGCCTCAAGCTTTCCTGGTGCTTGCCTGCCCGCCTCCCCTCGGTGGTTTCTATTTGCGACCCCCGATGAGGAATGCGTGTTTTTCGCGACAAGGGATATCACCCCCATCCCCCCCAACCGCACCGACAGCGTTACTGAGCACCCGTATTCCGAAATCTGCCCGCCACCACCCTCCTGGGCAACAGAATTGTAACACTCTGAGCAGCCGTGGTAGGGGTTAACTGGGCTGTAGAACGGATAAGACAATCTAGCTTGTGTCCGCGATCACTAACAATAAGACATGCGTGTTTTCTATCTCCTTTCGGCGTAGACGACGACATAGAATATCGCCCTCCCCCCCGTACCGCCAACGATACCTAGCACCCGTATTGCGACATGTCACCCCTGCCTTCCGTAGTCTGGGCGACAGTGGTAGGAGTTAGTTTGTATATGAGATAAGACAAGGGTGCAGGGCACTTCCTTGGTGGACTGCTCTGGGGAGTCCCATGGTGGAGTCCTACTGGGATCCGATCCTACTGGGTTGACCCTTATCAGAATCCGATTGCAATCCGACTGGGATCTTACTGGCTTCATGGTGCAACCCTCCTGGGCTCTCATTGAATTCCGATTGGGGTCTTGCTAGAATCCTAATCGGATTTTGTTGTGATCTCGCACTGACATGTCCAGGGGCGAGATAGCACTTCCAGGGGCGGGAAGCGATATAACTTCTCCGAAAGGGAGGAGCGCTAATCTCATTTCAGGGGTATGTACCATCGACGTTGAAATACACACGAAGTCCCCTCCTCACAGGTCTCTAGAATTCTTCCTTGTCGCTACACTATGTTCCTCACAAGTCCCTGCGAACCTTCCTTTTCACCGCCTCACCCTGCGGGCGTGCCATTCGCGCGAGGGCCCCATGTTGAACAACAAGTTGCGCTGAGTCCTTCTAGCGCATGAGCAGGGACGCCAAGAAGCACGATCGCACAATCGAACAACACTCCCAACGCGATCCACGATCTCAAGAGAAGCTGCAGGCCCCCATTCATGCAACGGTTGCCCAGGTTTGCCCTTCTGGTTAAAGAGCGCCGCAGGAATGCCAAACGATAGCCATTGAACAAAAAAAACCAGCATCCACCCGTGCAGCTGGCGCACACGCCGTCCTCCAACTTACGACGTAAGCCTCAAGTGGTGCCCACGCTTGACGAGCAGCCGTTTTCCATCCGTCCTGGCAACGGCTGCAAGCGTTATGACGGATGTGCGCGGCGCTGGAGCGATGACCCCACTTTGAGAACCACCATCTTCGACTCCCTGCTGCTGCTGCATACTGTTCAGACGGATGTGCACGGCGCTACGGCGAGATGAACAAGGAGCCGCCTTGTAATTCCTGCAAGCGTTGAAAACGAATGTGCGCGGCGCCAAGGCGTCAACCCCCTTTTGACCCCCTTGTTTCATCCGTGTCGGGGTGAAAAAAACTTGTCCGACGAATGTGCGCGGCGCTGTAGCGACAAGTCAATTTTGAAAGCGGCCGCCCGCCATCCGTATAATCGCTGCGATTTTCAAATTTCTGCATCAAAGAGGGCTAACACATCCTACGCGAAACGCCCGGGCCAACCTACCGACACTCCTGGGGGCTCGACAGGGAGGGGCTATCCATGATGAGAAGGGATGGGATATCCCATCTCCGTTGGGTACTTACTCCCGCTTGCAACCAGGAGGCTGGAGGAAAGGGGGGAAGTAAAGAGGGGGCTTGCTGCAGGAGGGAGGATGTGAGATGACGACGGCTGTAACGATGATGCTGCTGATGATGATGTTGATGATGATGACGATGGTGGCGAAACCGATGATGATGGTGATGGTGATTTTTCCCAGCGGATCGATGGCGATGAACAGGGCGACAACCGATGAGTTCATGCGAATTGCGGCAGTAGTACACGCCTGCTGGGACAAACACTTCAAGCGCTGGGCACAATCAGCGCCTGACCGTCTCAAAGGACGGGCGCCAAGGATACAGCGGGCAAGAGCTCGCAGAGCAGGAAAGAAGGGGATACGAACAGGCGTGATCGGGCCAAACGCTAAGGTCGCCACTCAAGAGTCGGGAGGCCACCAAGAGGGCGGCGGCGGCAAGCGCGAGCGGCGGTGCGCTCGAACTTGCCGGGGCCTCGCGCGCGGGCGAGGACAAACAAAAAGAAACGAGCCGACGCGCGCAGCCACGACCTAGTCGCATCAATTGTGCACCATAGAGGTGGCGACCAGTGAACGCGCAAAGGCGGTGGCGTCGGAGCAGTTTGAGAGGGATTGGGAGGCCCAACCAACAACTTCGCCTTAGGCGAAGCCCAGCTCCCGCTCTGTTGTACCGTAGTAGCGGTAGTCCCAGTAGTGGTGGGCGAGCCATCTCAAGCAGCATTTTGGTATCGATGGCAAATAGTACACCTCGCGCTGAGGTGTAGTCAGATCTGGGCGGCCGGCCGCTTTGAGCCAAGCAGCCGCGGATGCACGCTCGTTCCCACTCACATGCAACGCCCAGCTCACTTTAGAGTCGGGGGGGGGAGGGAGACGAGCCGTGAATCCGCCACCTCTATACAGCAGATACAGCAGCGACCATCTACAGAAGGGCAGCAAAAGGGCGGGGCCGTAAGGCACGCAAGTTGCCTTGTCTGTACTATTCTGTACTATTCAGATACTCCTCAGGCGGCCACAGAACAGGATGTCTGGCCAGCCCGATAGGGAGCCTGACTCTTTAAATCAGGTTTGAAGGATTGTAGACCTCCCATGACATGTAGAACAATCTCTCTGTCGATGCTCCCCTCGGTGTGAACGTCCGCAGTCAGATCGAGGGTGTCGCACCACTGAATACTGTGCACGGTTTCACGCTCCATAATCTGTCGTATCCAACTGATGTGTCCTAAAAGTGTACACTCAGCCGGCTTCTTCAAGTAAACACAGACTCAGCATCTATGGTCAAAGTGACCGTGATGCTCAGGCCACCCAACTCAATTATGTCTTTCAACTGAGTGGGAGTGAGCGGCCCTGCGTGGAGCTCGTGCAGAGTCACGGTCGTGGGATAACAGTCCTCCAAATTATGGGCAGCTGCGTTTGTCTCTGCTGAATAGCTCGAGTGGACCTGCAAGCGGTGAGACTTGCAGTACGCATCGGTCAAGTGGACGACGGGCTTACCAGATGGCGTGTTTCCACACCGTAGTAGGTTTGCCCCGCGAATACCATAGCCTTTGACGTCATCATCACTCAGGCGTCGGTAACCTGAGTCGCTGTGCAAGTCGACCTCGCCCGTAGGGGTCATCGCCTGATGGGCGATATTCTGCGGACTCGCGTTCAGTCGTCGCACTTGTATATTGGGCGGTTCTTGGACACGCTGTAGAGATACAACATGCACCATCAACCACCTGGGTGATTAATGCATGCGCCAGCGCGCCTCTGAGGCTGACGAACATGTCTGCAACCATCTTGGATGCCTGGGCGTCAGCGTCGGCGCCGGTAAGTTTAGGATGTTGTATAGGACGGAGCTGCTTGATGTATTCGTCTTGGTCCAACGTAACATTGCCGACCTCATCCTTGGTGCGCCTCACAGCACGATTGGTGCATGTGTGCTTGTTGAGTTTACACTTACCAAAGGTTTCTACTACGCACTTGGCATATTTGGCAATGGTGTCCTCACTGCTGGCCATTTTGATATCAACGACATGTTTGGCCGTAAGCAGGTTGCTGCTCGCCTCGAACTCCATGTCGTAGGACGTGGGTCGGAGACCAAAACCTCTTGTGGTCCTTTTGAGCTTTAGTCAGAAAGCTCGGGGTGCGTCTTTGGTGCCAGTGCCTGGTTTAAGGCACTGCGAGCAATGCTTTGACTCGTCGTAGCGTTCGAATCCTGGGAGAGTCCGAAGCACCGTGTCCGATGCAGGCGGCGCAGAAAAAAAACACACCACGCGTTCCTTTTCACCAGTTGCCTCAGCAAGTTCCTAGTAGGTCAACCCTTTCAGGAAGGCCATGTTGATGTCGAGGGGAGCAATGATCCATTGCTTCTTGCACGCTGTCGTGCTCGCGAGTAGTCTCTGGCTTGACCGCCGCGCTGCTCCCGAAAAAGGTTTCCGCGTCGAAAGCTTCAAGGTCCACGGGGCCTCGACGCGCCAGGCGTAATCTGATGGCACGCCCCGCCTCGCCCTCCTCGTTCTTCACAAACTTCCATGTGTGCACGTGCCTCGGAGTCATGATGTTTGACGCTGTAGATATGTCTTTCATTATGAAACACTCGTTGCCAAACCATGTTTTGAGTTCGGTGTAGAGGGCCTTCGGTTCTTTCTCGGGGTTCGCCTGGATGTCAGCCTCCGCGAGGAGGCCGTCTTCCTTGACGACCACAGCTCGCTTTGCAGCGGCGGTAACGTATGCTCGCATAGTAGTCACACGGTCGGCATCTAATATAAACTGCTGTTGTTCGGACAGGACTACCTTTGACATTTCCGCCGCAAAGCAGAGTTCTACGCATTGCCAATTTTCGTCTGCGTCCAGTCCGTAACAACAGTCTTCGACCATGGGGCACAATGAGACATTATACGTCTCCTCGCTGTCGG